TAGCATCCAGTGAGTCCGGTGGGTGGCAGAGGAGGGCTCTGTTGGGGGCGCTGTTAGAGGACCCCAGTGGGTCAAGCAGGATAGACATTGCTAATAATCACGGTTGACTTTAAATACTGGTAGCAAGATGACTTCTGATTTGTAATCTTAGGGAATTTATAGATAAATGAAAAACATCAGTAATCATCCACTAAGAGTAATAAATAGGCCTTCAATGAACCTCACGAGGGCTGGGCTAGCAGCAAGGTTTCATAAGACGAGGTATTCTTTTCTTCCCACGTCTGGCTGGCAGAGCAGCTTTTGCGGCCATTTCAGAAACCGCCCTCACTCTGTTCAACACGTGCAGCAAAAGCACCCATCCTATTTGCCCAATCTTTGCCTCCTTCCAACTTCCTGGCTCTTGCTTCATCTTGGCTTGCTCCTACCCTGTGTGTTCATCATTCCGAAGATCCTTATTTCAAACCACAGTGATAGACAGGTTGGGACAGAAATGCTTGACTTCTGGTGTTCTTTTTTCAGGGTTGTTGTCTAAACTGTCAATAGAAAAGCACATCAGTATTACACCAGTGTCCAGGTAGGAAAGGAGCCTTCAGTGATCATAATCCCCCTGCCTAGCTGTTTCCCACAAAGCCAACTCCATCTCTTCCCATCCACTTCATAGCTGCCACATAGTTCTCAAATACCATGGAGACAGAGATCACTGTAAACTGGTCCTTGCTCCGTTACCAGCAAACTGGTAACTCCGTTACCAGTTTCTCCTGGATAGCAGCCATTGCTTACAAATGTGCAGCAAGACCCACACTTATATGGCAGAAATTCTACAAAGTCTCTTGACTTTCAGAGGAAGGGCACACAGGCAACTCTGTATCTGGTCTCTCTGCGTCAAGGAAGCCTGTCCCTGAGTCACAAGCTCAGAAACTAGGGTGGGAAGCTGACTGGCATCAGAAGACTAAAGGAGAAATCTTTTTTTAAAACACACCTTTGATCACTGGAAAACCTAAAACCCTCCTCTTAAAACAGAAATGTAAATTATTAATATGATCTCCCTGGCATGACATGATCTGATTTCCTCACTACCACATCTAAAATCACTTCTCCTTTGTTCTTAGTACAATAGCAATGCTGGTCTTTTGTTCTTCATTTGAACCATACACTTTCCTCCCATACGTCTTGTATCTGCCATACATCTTGCCCTCTACCTGTTTTACCCTCATCTTTGCCCAGTTTCTAGTCATTATTACTTCCTCAGGGAAAATCTTTTTACCTGCATTTATTTTTTAAAGTTTTTTTTTTTAAATGCATACAAGAACTGTGGTACAGGCCAGTGGTGTGGAGCATGTGAGGATTCACCAGAGACAGAGTGGGTAACAGAACAGGTGGGTCAACAGAAATACACTGCTGATAGGAGCAGCGGGAGAGACAGGAGAGGTCTGCTGTGCCATGTGGGCCCCCTCCCTGGCTGGGGATCAAACTTGTGCTGCAGTGGCTGTAGATAGCTTCATAGTTCTGTGCTGTAACCCCTTGCGCCACCAAGGAGGCCCTTTATCTGCATTTTAAAACAGAGAGCCCTTAGCTTTCCTTCATACCACTTACTACAATTGAGATTAAATGACTAATTAAACTCTATGTTTAATGTTTGACTCCCCTGTTTAACCCTCAGTATATGAGGACAGGGCCACCTTATCTTGCTCACTACTGTCTCCATACCACAGACCATAGTATCTGATTACTGAAAATCTCAAATCATTTTTTCTTTCATTGAAGAGTTATGGTGCAAATATTCCCTATTCCTTCTATAAACTTCATATCCATTCATACATCTCATCCAATGTTCTCAGAGTCATTTCTCTAAGACAGTGTTATCTACCTTATACAATGATCTCTGAGAGGTAGACTGCTGCTTTTAAGTGTGTGGTAAAGAACCCAGCAGAGTCCTAGTGAGGGGAGAATACAATGTTGGGAAAGCAAAGAAAGGAACAGATTTATTTATCAAAGATGTTTTGTAGCAACTTTTTGCTGTTAAAATCCCTGGCCAGTTGGGGGCGATATAAAGTTAAAGGGGCATGGGATGTGTGCTCAGACCCAGGTTTATGCATTCAGACCCAGGTTTGTGCAGTCAGACCCAGGTTGGATCCCAGCTATACTATTTTGTAGCTTTGTGACTGGGCAAGTTCATCATGCTCTCTGCTCCTCAAATCTCTCAGCAATAAAATGAGGATATAATAATGATACCTTTTTTTTTTTAAAGATTTATTTATTTATTTATTTATACAGAACTGGGGTACAGGCCAGAGATGCGGAGGGTGAGAGGATTCACCAGAGACAGAGCGGGAAGCAGAACAGGCAGATCGATGAAGTACACTGCTGAGGGGAGCAGCGGGCGGGTCAGGAGAGGTCTGCCGCGCCATGTGGTCACCTCCGGGGCAGGCGGGGATCGAACTCATGTGGAAGTGGCTTTAGTTTCTCAGTGCAGTGCTTTAACCCGCTGCGCCACCAGGGAGGGCAAATAATGATACCTTTTTATAAGTTTGTTGGAGAGGTTCAATGAGTTGTACAATACTAAGAGCAGGGCCTGGCCTTAGCAGTAAATGTAAGTCACTATTTCATGCTCAGAAATGTCAGCCCCTATTTTTACCTGTGGTAAAATAAGATCTCCTGGGCCTCCCTGGTGGTGCAAGGGGTTATAAGTTACAGCACTATGAAGCAATAGACTGCCACTGCAGCATGAGTTGGATCCCCAACCAGGAAGCTAACCCACATGGTGCAGCAAACCTCTCCTAGGGGAGCTCACTGCACCCCTCAGCAGTGTATTTCAGTTAGTCCACCTGTTCTGCTCCCACTCTATCTCTGGTGAATCCTCTTATTCCCCACCTCTGTATCTCTAGCCTACACCCCAGTTCTTGTATTCATAAATAGAATAAACCTTAAAAAACATAAGATCTTCCATTTTACCCCAGTGCCCACTTGGTACTGGAAGAAGTTTGGGAATATTTGTGGTACTGTGAAGTTCTCTGTGGGAGGTTAGGATTGGAACACTTTGAAAATATAATGCCTCCTCCTCATTTCTTTTCTCTTCTTTGAAATCTTAATGTTGGAGCTAGTGGGTGAAAGGAAGAGGAGAAACAGCTGCTATTTGGTTCCAAATGACAGCAGCATCAGTATGCACTTTCTTGTAGAAATCTGTTTTGGTTATTTACACATGTATATTTACAAACTCCATTACCAGACAGACGAAATATCCTGATGGAGGCCAGCCAGTTCAGATGCTAGATACCTGGTAACTTGTGAATGTGGAGCCTAGAACCACTAGGCTCCCTTTGTTCTTTTTAGCCTTATTGGGGCCCTTCTTGTCAAACAGAGCCTGCTATGTATAGGCCAATCAAGAGCATAATAAAATAATTGAAGATAGAATTGCAACAATGAACTCATTCAAGCAAGGGCTGCTGGAACCCTGGGGAAAATATTTCTCATAAAAAAAATACAAAAATGCCCAATAGTTAATCTCACCTTAAGACACAGTGTTCTCTCAAGGCCTCTTCCTTCTTTTCTGAAAGCACACACAGTTCTGGAGCAGAAGTTAGGAAGCAGACTCTCCACCAACCCCCAAGTTGCTTTTCCCTCCCTTTTTAATCTTGTGGAAGAGCTGCCAATTTTAGAAATTCCTCCTTTGATCAGAAGATAAAGCAGAACAATGCTGTGGACTAAATGGGTTCCTAAGGGACATTCTTCTAGGGTGTGTAAAATCTACTTGGAAGTGTATATAGGGCAGTGTTACCAGGAAGTAGGTGAAAAGCTAAGAGTGGGAAGGGGCGTTGGTGGCCAAGACAAGAGTTGAGTGCATTCACATTAGATCCTCATTTAATCCTCCCAACAGCCCAGGAAGGACCATAGACAAGAGTTGGTGGCCAAAGCCACAAGTGATTATCATACAGGTGCTTCTGGACACCTCTATATAATGACAAATTCAGCAAGTCGTTGGGTGTAGGCATGTTTATCACAGTTGGGGGGCTTCATCCATTTCACATCCTCCCTTCAAAAGAAAGGAAAGAAAAAGGCATGTGGCAAAGAATCAAGTGTCATTCCCATTATTTGTTGGAGGTAAATTTTACTGAGAATTGCAGTCTAAACCTATCCTGCTAGATTGTGAACCTCTGGAAGAAGTGGACCTCATTGTCAGGATAGTATGTTGTAAAATATTACAGATTAGAGTCAGAACTGAATTCGAACAGAGCACCAACTTCACTCGGTAAATGAGGATACTTTTTCTTTCTCCTTGATATGCTTATGTAATTTTTTGATCTAACATTTGAGGGCTAAATGTTTTACAAGCATAGTCTTGTTTAATTCTCATATTCCAGAGGTTATATGTGAAAATAGTGTTATAATGTAAAAAAAGAACCTTCTGGTTGTGAGTTATTACTGGGTTATGGTCCTTCCTGGGCTGTTGGGAGGATTAAATGAGGATCTAATGTGAATGCACTTTAGACAATCCACGTGATGTGTTACTGATTACACACCCTGCAGCACCTGATCTACTGACTCGACTCAATAAATGCTGGTTGAAATGAGCAATTTCATATTTTGCCCGTTCCTTTCAGTCTTCGGATCACAATTTAACCTCAGTGCAGTCTGGAGCCTCGATCCGAGTAGCGATAAGTGCCAAGACCCTGGAGGGGGCTTGGGAACAATAGCGTACTTGGGTGTTTGGGGGGGCTTTGGATGGGGGCTGGAAAGGTAAGCGATTGGGGTCCACAAAGGCCGCCCTTCCCAGGTCTGGGACAGCACGGAGAGACGTCCAGGCTTAGTTCCGCAACCCCGAGGGAAGTCGAACCCTGGCACCACTACAGCGATCCGCGCCTCACGGGACTCGTTCAAGCTCCGCCCACTACCTCAGGTAGGTCGTCTGCACCAGCCAATCCACAGGACGCCTGGCCAAGGGAGGCGGTGCTTCCCTGGCAGGAAATGACGTGTGGTGCTTGGCTGGCCGCGGAGTCCGCCGAAGCTGTCCGCGGCCGCTGAGGCGACTGAGGGGAAAATGTCTCGGACCGTGACAGTTGTGGCGGCTCGGGTTGTGGTGGCGGCTCAGGCTCAGGCAGCGTGAGGTGAAGAGCGGTCGGAGCGGCGAGGGTGGGTACCCAGACCCCTGCTGTCCACCGGCGGAGAGGGATACAAGGATGGGAGGATCCCTTGCCGCGGCTCCCAGCCCCCCGGGTCCTCCCCCTTAACCCTCCATCCCGTGGGCTTGACGCTGCCCTATCCCGACTCACCACCCTCCTGGCCTTGCTTCTATCCAGGCGGTGTCTACTGCCCCTCCGTAGGTGCGGAGGGCCCGCGCCCCCACCAGGCCCCTGTTGTCTCGGAGGGGGGTGGTGCCTGGGAGTTAGTTTTGTCCCAAAGTGGGAGGGGAGACCAACCCCCTCCCTCCTCCCAATCCCCGGTGCCGGGGGACGGGGTTGGAGCCGCGGTGCCAGTTCTGTTCTCCGGTGGAATTGTTAGGCTCTGGCGACTGTGTGTTGCCCGTCTGTTATTATGCCTCCCCCCCCGCCCCCCCGGTTCTTTTCACCTCCTGGTCCCATCTCCGGCTTTGGGGCTGAAGACTTTTCCTTCCCTCTTCCCGGAGATCGTTACTTTGCCGCGAATCCACTTGTTTCGGGAAGACTGTACTATTTCAGTGTATATATAGCGCTTCATCTTTTTGAGAGTACTGTCAAAAGGAAAATATTGGCGTAACTCTTCCTGAGTAACGGGGGAACAGTAAATAATTCACGGGGGAAAAGCACATACTTACTTCCCTCACTGAATGATTGGCTTTAAAAACGAGATTCGCCAGCTGTGATTTTCTATTTCTTTTTTTTTTTTTTTCCGGGGAAGGGCAGAGATTGAGGAAGGCCGTGAGGAAGCAGAAAACTGAGGCGCAACATCTAGAGATAAACTGGGAGAGTGTCCATAGTACTAATTCTTTCCCTAAATTCACTTGATAGCACTTGAGCTTGTAATTTTATTTATTTATTTTTAACAGTGGGCGTTGGTTTCAGTGTAAGGAGTGTTTCCTTTTGAACAGGATTACCTATTAGAGCGTTACCCTAAAAATCTTTCCATGTGGGTGTCAGGCAGAAAAGCTCTGTTGAGAATATTGTTTAATATATTGAAACATCAACCCACAGATTAGAAGAGATGTAGAAAAGAAGAAAGCTATTGTTAGAACAGCAGTGAAGACAATATAAAGGGAGAAGGCTGCTCACAGATCCCAGGAAAGACTTTGTACCTTTGCACCCTTGACTTACGGTTCAGGTCTGCACAAGGTCTCTTAGCAGATTTGCAGTGGACGTGTTGGTGCTCTTCATAGCAGCAAATTAGACCCAAGTGCCTTGTTGAAGTATATAAACTTTGGAACTCTTAAGACAGTCTTTGAATACCAAAAGGCATAATGACCAAGTAAAGAAATTTGTTAAAATTCAAAAAGATTTTATATGGCTACAAAGTACAGATAAAATTTTTTTCCATGTTTAACTGTCTAAACTCTAACGCAATTTTTTCTTATGAAAATCTGTAGTTATTGCTTTGCATGTGTACTTTTTTGGCCAACTCTATTTTAATGTTTTCCTTGGTAAGTTTCAACAGCTCTTCCTGTTTTGTGGAACATAAAAATTGGCATACTTACATTTAGAAATTTTACGTTTAGGAATTTTAGAAATGCTGTGTGTTGTTATCTATTTTATCTATATTGTTTCTCCCTCTTGCCTTGTGAATGTTCCTAAAATTTTCAATTAAAGATTGCTGTATCAGTCTCTCTGTCCAGGAATCTTTTGTTAGCAGTGTTTTTGCTCTTAGCAAGCACATTCAATAAGTGAACTTCTTATACCTAACAAGAGTGTTGAATCCCAAAAGCTCAGAGTTTTTATCAGAGCATGAGACCAAACTTTTCAGAGCAGCAGTGTAAAGTACTTTTTAAAAAATGCATTTTCCCATTGTTTTTATTTTGATATTATACCGGCCATATTCCAAAAAGAATTTAAGGCAGGCAAATGATAAAGGTGAATGTTTTACTGCAATGCATTCAAATAGTGTGTGATTTGACATGCTAGTTAAATCAGAGAAGAGCTAAAAAGTGGCTATAATTGTTTCACAAGGCTTGCAAGGATGCCATACATTGCAGTGGTTTCAGGGATGGAAAGAGAGAGAGACAGTCAGTGTGAGACAGACAGTGCCTGCCCTCAAATTCTCTAGGCCATCTGTGGAGACAAACTTAAAACTATATCAGTATGGTTATAAGGGCAATGGTAGGTCCCAAAATACTATAAAAGATTTGTCATCTGGGCTGGGAGATGGAGAGAGAATAAGTGCATCTATTGAGAGAGAGGATGCTCAAAGTGAGTCTTGAAGAATGAGTATCTACCATTAATGAGGTGGGGATAGAAATAATAAGTTCTAGATCCTGCTGCAATACTATGAGTGAGATATTAAGGATACTGCTTAATACTGTATAAGTTTTCCTATTTGAGTATAGTATATTTTCCTGTATATGTGTAGGATATTTTACATTTTGAGGTAAATCTTTGAATTCTGGAATGCATTTTACACTTATATCTCAATTTGGACTGGTCACATTTTAAGCACTCGGTAGCTATTAGATACCTTACTGGATGGTGCAGATCTAGAATATGAAAATCCTGTATTTCTATCTTGAATCCTACTTGAAAAGGACAAACAATGAGGAAAAGGAAAAACATTTCAATGAGAAGTGGTTTTAGTGTTTTTCTTCTACTTTAAAAGGGCACATTTAGTAGGAAAAAGAAATACCTGCGTAGACACAGGTGGGCAGTCTTGACAAGCTCTGCCAAGAAATGTATTACTAGTGATTTATAATTCTAGTCATTTTAGTAGTATGCTCTTTTGATTGGAATTATGTTCTCCTACTTGGAGATAATGCCACTGTAGGATATTTTTCAGGTTGTTCATTTTTGATATCTTTATTTTGTACTTCTGTGTATATTTTGTATTCCTCCTTTTCCCTGCAGTTTTATTTATGACATGATAGAGTCAAAACACAATTGGAGAGTGCACATAAATGTTGTAGACTACAAGGAGAATTATGCAACTTTATAGTTGCATAAATTTCACATTTCTATCTCAGCAAAGTATGAGGGTTCCAGTTTCCTTCACATCCTTGCCAACACTTAAAAAATATATATAGTTATTCTAATAGGTGTGAAACGGTATCTCATTGTGGTTTTGATTTGCATTTCCCTGTGACATCTTCTCATGTCTTATTGCAGTAAACTGACTTTTTAAATGGCTGTTCCCAGTAACTGGACAGATGTAATATACAGATTTTTTAAATAACTGTTATATGCTTGTCATTCTTTATAATTTTTTTAACTGACGTTATGAGATAAGATCTGTGTTTTACAGATGAGAAAAACCCAAGACAAAGGGAGATTAGTTATTTTTTAACAGTTTATTTTTACATCATTTTGTACTTTTTTTTTTCATCTCAGTTGTAATCCCGCAGGTTTCCCATTACCAAGTCACTCGTGTGCCATCACCATAGTCCTGTGCACTTCCCTCCCCACGCCTCCACCCCCATTTTTTATCCCATTCCCCACTCTACCCCCACAAAATGTCTCTGGTATGTGGCTGTTCATTATTCTTATTATTTTCTCACCTGGTCCATTATACTGCTATGAGTGAAACCATCCAGTATTTTTCTTTCTCTTTCTGGCTTATCTCACTAAACATGATCTTTTCCAGTTCAAAGGGAGATTAGTTTTAAGATTATTTAAACTCAGTTGTCTGTTTTCTTTATTCTACAAACTTAACAGCTTCATGCAATTGGTGGATGGTGTTTAGGGAAAAAAATTCTAGAAGTACTTATATCAGTTTTTCAGTGTCTCCTACTCGGGGTGTTCTCAATTTTATTTTTCCTACCTAGCCCTGTTAGAAATGATAGCATGTATATAACATTTAACACAAAAGCTTACTATTGTCATGTTAGGAGTAATTCAGGCTATATTTAATGATTCATGTTAAATGAATGAACAGGAAAGTAGTCCAAAGTTCAGTAATTATCTCCACAAAGCTGTAACACTGTTGGGATTCTGAGTTAGATTGAAAGTGCTTTGTCAGTAAAATGTTTTTCAACAGGAACTTCTTGCTGGTTTGTCCTCCTTTCTTTATTCCCCTTTCAAACATACACATACACATACTCATACTTAAAGTTGTTCTGGATGAACACCCTGATTGTGAATACATGTATAAAGTTATATGTATAAAGTTACTCCTAAGTATATACATATAAGTTTATACATATAAACTTATATGTATAAACTTATTTCTAAGGGTTGAAAGTAGTGTAATAACTACTAGTACTTATTAGACTATACTATTCTCATTACTTTTTAATCCACATGAGAGAGTTAACCCCTTATCAATTGCTTGTAGTACTTGGGTAGAGCACAATTATGAGTGTTGTAGAGTTAAAGAATGCAGAAGCCAGATTAGTATTATCCAACTTTAAAATTGTGAAGGAATTCAAGAAGTCTTTTCTCTCTCTCTCTAAGATTTCGTTTATGCATACAGAGCTGGGGTACAGGCCAGAGGTGCAGGGGCAGTGAGAGGACCCACTGGAGACAGAGTGGGGAACAGAACAGTTAGACTGATGAAATACACTGCAGAGGGGAGCAGCAGGCGGGACCGGAGGAGCCATGCATGCTATGTGGGTCACCTCCCTAATCTGACCGAACTCGTGCTGAAGTGGCTGTGGTTAGCTTCCTAGTATGGCACTTTAACCTGTTGTGCCACCAGGGAGGGTCCAAGGATTCTCTTCTCTTTTTCCCCATGATACTCTTTTTCTATGGCAGGTTACAGTTCCAATTTCATCTTTTCCTTGACTACACCATTAAAAATACTATCCCGGCCCTCCCTGGTGGCGCAGCCGGTTAAAGCACAACACAAAGAAGCTGTCCCAGAGTGACCACATGGCGTGGCAGACCTCTCCTGACCCGCCCGCTGCTCCCCTCAGCAGTGTACTTCCTTGATCTGCCTGTTCTGCTCCCCGCTCTGTCTCTGGTGAAGCCTCTCACCGCCCTACACCTCTGGCCTGTACCCCAGTTCTGTATGCACAAATA